AACCACGGTGATATCATCTTGCTTCCTGAGTTGCCACAGCTTTCATATAGGCTTTCCATTGCTACCCCAATAGCTGGAAGGTTTCTTTCATGGAAAATCCTCGATTAAAATGGACTATGACTTGGGGTTACCCCTATGACTTAGGAAAGCCCCATATCTACCATGAATCCAATGGTCGGCCTACTCACAGACCAACTTCTCGCTGGTTGGTCCCTTCTTGTGTTGACAAAGCCGGAACATCCAATCAGCAAATGCTTCAAAAAGAACTGCTTTGGAATATCCAGGGCAGCATATATAAAATCCGTTGAAAGCAACAAACACCAAGGTTTATGTTGAATGTCTGCACAGGTCAGAGTGTCATAAATAAGTGGGGCGTAAGAGAGTGAATGTTCAAGAATCAACGAAAGCTTCCATGGGGTGGCCCTAGAAAACCAGTGGTGAATTCCCGGTTGAAATGCCGTGCCGTCGCTGCAGCTTCAGACTCCACCAGTTCCTTGAGGGCCCCAACCCGCCAATACATTCGAATCCGTGGCGCTTGCTGTACTCCACGAATGGAACCTGTCCCATGATACAGCAATAAATGGTTGTAATACAAAAAAGTAAGCATGGTAAACCTATAAACAAAAATACATTGTAAGTTCGTATAATGATTTAATACACCCACACAATCGACACAATCACGGCAAAAATTCAATAATATCATATTATCATCATAGTGCTGATAGTAATTGAATTAAACATCAATGACAGCCCAAAATTCACCCTGAAACCGCTTGGGAACGACCCTCGGTGACCGCACTTTGGCGCTGGGGTCCATGGAACGTTCTTGCGCCGCCAGCGCCAAGGTCTTGGCAATCGTCTCTGGCGGCCTGGAGAATTTCCGAAAAATTGGGGATTTGCTAAGGGTGAAGCAGTTATCACTGGGCATTGAATTTGAAACTATACAGTAGGAACATGTAGGAACCAGATTTGGCTTGCAGGGTCTTCTGGTGTGAACCCAAGATTGGAAAAAAACAAATCTTGCTTGATATAGCGCAAAGTAGCCCATGGTTTCAACTCTCCAGTATTCAATGTCCATAAATTTTGGTACAGAAGTGTTTGAAACCTCTGTCATCTCTATATATATATATAGTTTGTTAGTAGTTTCCAATCCATTGATCAAGTCATACTCCCCAATCAACCAGGTATAGTATAACCTCCTATGACTATCAATCAGCAAAGGTCTTGGCCACTGCCCATATTACCATATTGCCAAAATCTGATCTTGTTCATCATAATTTTCACATTTTAAACTTTCATTCCGTTTGAACAACCCCAAAGAATATAATATGTCGGTTGTATATCCCATGATATCCTAGTACAATGGCTAGCAGTAGAGCCCAAGATGAGGCTCACCAACCATGGAAGATCGCTGCTGCTCGCCATCTAGGCATCCCACGTGCAGCGATCCAGCAGACCCACCAAGTCCTCAGTCCAAACACACAGCGAGTTCTGTCCAATGCGGTCTTCGAACATCTCAAATCCATCTGACTTCAAGGTGTCCTACCTGCCTATATACATACACACTATGTCTATACATATATAATCTATATAATATATATATACTCTACATTGGTATATGTAAAACACACAGACACTATAATCACTATACACATATTATGTATAATATCCCCCATGTATAGCCCGCTAGATGCTTTGCGGCCGACTTTATAGAGAATAGCCTGGTATAAACTGGAATGGCCACATGTCTGGAGTCTATAAAGTGGAAAGCCAACATGTTTTGTCTACAAAGTCAAAATCCAACGTTTGTATAAAGTCGCCTGGCCGCGTAAAAACATAAAACTCGATGCAGGTTTTTGAGGGTACTTGTGAACATGTCCCATGACTATAAAGTGAGATGCCGAACATCCAGATAGTAATACTTGTGCAGAACAGTGGCACTATAATGTGGATTTCCGGCTAAACAACGATCGTTGTAGTAGCGATGATTTTCTTAATCGCGACGATGGCAGCATCGACATGATTGTCTATAAAGTTGAGGGGCCACGTTCAAACCTTGGGGGAATATCATCGATCTCATCGATGGGGAACCCAAAAGACTTCGAATGACTTCGAAACCGAACGAAACCGACAGCCAGACAAATATCTATATCGAAGTCGTTAACAGAATCTATGGTAAAACAAAATCTATGTTGGACTGGCCACTTTATACCCCCTCCCCCAACAGAGAATGCCTCTAACACACTTTCGTTTGAAAGGGGTCCTTGGGGTGAAAGGGGTCCTGGTCGCGCCGCGCGCGCGCGCGCGCCAAAATGGCTCCAATTTTGAAACCTTTTTGGCGCGCGCGCCCAGGACCCCATTCACCCTGAGGAATTTTTCAAGGGAAATCTTCTTCTCTATAAAGTGGCCAGTCCAGGTAAAACCCCTGAAAAAAAAGAATCTATGTTGGACTGGCCACTTTATACCACCTCCCCCAACAGAGAATGCCTCTATAAAGTGGCCAGTCCAAGTAAAACCCCTGAAAAAACACATTTTTACCTGGAATGGCCACTTTATACCCCCTCCCCCAACAGAGAATGCCTCTATAAAGTGGCCAGTCCAGGTAAAACCCCTGAAAAAACACATTTTTACCTGGAGTGGCCACTTTATACCCCCTCCCCCAACAGAGAATGCCTCTATAAAGTGGCCAGTCCAAGTAAAACCCCTGAAAAAACAGAATCTATGTTGGACTGGCCACTTTATACCCCCTCCCCCAACAGAGAATGCCTCTATAAAGTGGCCAGTCCAGGTAAAACCCCTGAAAAAACACATTTTTACCTGGAATGGCCACTTTATACCCCAGCCAGTGGGCTCCAGGACTTTGACCCGGAAACGGAAGGACTGACAACAAGGTCAAGGGGGAAAACTACAACGGAGAGGTACAACGGGAAGGCTACCACAAGAAAATGAGACATGTCACGTTTATATACGTTTATTGTTTTCAATGTGTCATATAGATTGGCGATGATTGGTATATTGAATATGTTGTAGATGTATTTTGGAACATATGTATACCTATGATTCACACATCAATATAAATATATATAAATCATAAATCATAAACACATGCCAAACCAAAAACTTTTAGCTGAGTATTGTATTCCCAATCTGTTGGCAAATGTCCAGCCGATTCACCATGCGTGACCCAACAAGATTCAAACTATGGATTGTTTACTTTCGAAAATATTTTTCCCGAGAGCGCCTGCGAAGGGTTCTTCGTAAAAAAGCAGCCGTTATACTAGATCTTCACTCCTTCACATCTGCTGATCTAGATCTTCACACCTTCACATCTGCTGATCTAGATCTTCACACCCTCACACCTGCTGATCTAGATCTTCACACCCTCACACCTGCAGATCTAGATCTTCACACCTTCACATCTGCAGATCTAGATCTTCACACCTTCACATCTGCTGATCTAGATCTTCACACCTTCACACCTGCTGATCTAGATCTTCACACCCTCACACCTGCAGATCTAGATCTTCACACCTTCACATCTGCAGATCTAGATCTTCACACCCTCACATCTGCAGATCTAGATCTTCACACCTTCACACCTGCAGATCTAGATCTTCACACCCTCGCACCTGCAGATCTAGATCTTCACACCCTCGCACCTGCAGATCTAGATCTTCACACCTTCACACCTGCAGATCTAGATCTTCACACCCTCACACCTGCAGATCTAGATCTTCACACCTTCACACCTGCAGATCTAGATCTTCACACCTTCACACCTGCAGATCTAGATCTTCACAACTTCACACCTGCAGATCTAGATCTTCACACCTTCACACCTGCAGATCTAGATCTTCACACCTTCACACCTGCAGATCTAGATCTTCACACCTTCACATCTGCAGATCTCCTCTCGCTCTTCTTCTATTCTCTCTTAAGGCGGGGGCGGTGCCGCCGGAGCGCCACGAAACGCAACCCCTTCGCACGAAATGGACGTTGGACGTCCAAAACCTAGGTAAAATTGCGATTTTGAAGCGTCGCCGGCAACCCTTTCGCACGAAATGGACGTTGGACGTCAAAAACTGAGGAAAAATTGCAACTTTGAGGTGTCGCGCGCAACCCTTTCGCACGAAATGGACGTTGGACGTCAAAAACTGAGGAAAAATTACAACTTTGAGGTGTCGCGCGCAACCCTTTCGCACGAAATGGACGTTGGACGTCAAAAACTGAGGAAAAATTGCGAGTTTACTTAGTCCCGCGCAACCCTTACGCACGAAATGGACGTTGGACGTCAAAAACTGAGGAAAAATTGCGACTTTGAGTTGTCAATCGCAACCCTTACGCACGAAATGGACGTTGGACGTCAAAAACTGAGAAAAATTGCGACTTTGAGTTGTCAATCGCAACCCTTACGCACGAAATGGACGTTGGACGTCAAAAACTGAGGAAAAATTGCGACTTTGAGTAGTCCCGCGCAACCCTTACGCACGAAATGGACGTTGGACGTCAAAAACTGACAAAAAATTGCAATTTTACTGTGTGTAAAAGCTTCTGTGTGTAAAAGCGCCTGTGTGTAAAAGCTTCTGTGTGTAAAAGCCTCTGTGTGTAAAGGAGTCTGTGTGTAAAAGCTTCTGTGTGTAAAAGCGTCTGTGTGTAAAAGCGTCTGTGTGTAAAGGCGTCTGTGTGTAAAAGCGTCTGTGTGTAAAAGGTGTGTGTAAAAGTGTCTGTTTGTAAAAGCGTCTGTGTGTAAAAGCGTCCCTTACGCACGAAATGGACGTTGGACGTCAAAAACTGACAAAAAATTGCAATTTTACTGTGTGTAAAAGCTTCTGTGTGTAAAAGGGTCTGAGGTTGTAAAAAAACCCCGTGGAAAATCCTTGTTCCCTAAAACTGTTATCGTTTTTTTTCCTTTTATCGTTTTTCCATGTTTCAGACTTATACGCTGGAATTTGCATTTGTTCTTCCAATAACAGAAGAGAGCAGTGGCTCGACCAATCATTTTACTGCTCGCTCTCGGTGCTAGAATCTGAAGAGGATGAACTAGAGGAGCTGGAGCTCGAAGCATCAACAGGGTCACCTCGCAAGGCCTCGAGTTTGCGCAGTAATCGTTTCTTGTCCTTCGCAGCTTTCTGTGCTCTGGCCAGAACCTTTTCGTGAAATGTTCGAATGGGTCGGAAGGCAGGATTTTGTCTGTGCTTCTGGGCCTCGTACTTGCGACACAGGACAGTGGTCGAGCTCGGATCAGGAGGTGGCAAGTCCCAGGAACGGGGCCCCTCCATGTACGCACGTAGCCAAGCCACATCTGCCTCTGATGTTTCTGCAACAAGGTCATAGCCGCACGATGGCCCCAACTGGACAACATCGGTGAAAATTTTGTTGTATAATATAGATCTGGTTCTTCCGGTAGCAGGCGGTCTGAAAACAAGAGAATATGTTTTCGTTACTTGAAAGTCGGCAGATCTCAAATGATGCAAGGTTCTTCGTTTATGGACTCCGTAATCCACTGCTCGGAAGCTCCACCGTGGACCCCGTGGGTCACTCTGCATGGCGGCAGCAGCTGCTTTTTGCAAGGAGGTCACAAGTTGATCGATAGTGAGGATAGGATACAGCAAGCTCTGCTCGCGAACCCAAGCGCTGATTCGCCCAAAGCAGGCATCGAGTATACTTTTTCCGTGCTGCTCCGCCCAATAAGAAACTTCGATAGGCTGTTGTCTCTGGACGCATAGCTGTGCGTAATGAGCCAGGTTGGCAGCACTGCGGTAGTGCGGTCCACAATCGCTGAAAAGGTGGAGGGTGCCGGTCCGAGGCACATTGGCATCATCGAGAACAAAGTTGAACATGTTATTGGCTGCTTCTGCTGTTTGCTCCCGAATCTCAGTGAGGTAAATGAAATAGTTATGTTGAATTTTCGGGCGCTCGGCCGTGCTGTCTGGGGCGTGCTTGTAGACCACACTGCCGTACACTGCTATTGCGTAGCGCTGCTGCATATGCCAAGAATCACTGCTTTCACTTGGACCGCACGGGAGTCTAACCTTCTCCTTCCAGTCAAAACATATGCACGTGGCATCGATGGGAAGTGCTGCTTCAACCAATTTCTCAAAGTTTGTTCTTTGCCGGTTGGCGCACACCATGTGCCATTCATATGATCGTAGAAGAGACCTGTGTCCTCGAAGAAGTACTAGAGCTGGTGCTTCAGTGAAGGAACGGAGTTGGAGTCTGTCAATTCCTGCTGCAGCTCGTTCTTGCCGATAATTCTCACAGTGGCTAGACACATACGCCACCGCTGCAGCTGCTTCGGCTTGCACGGTCTCATATGTCTGGTCTGCAGGCCAGTGAGCAAAATAGCTTGGCATGACAGCAATGAGCTGATTCTGCAAATCCTTCCAATCCTTGCGAAAACGGGGGATGATCTGCTGGTAATATGTTTGGCAATGCGTGCACACATCTGTGCATCTCTGTCCAAGTCGATATTGTGCGAAATGTGATTTCAGTAGCGAATAGAAGCGAGTTCGACTGATGTGTTGCCGCAGCTGCGGATGTTCCTCCCACAAGCGACCTGGTGTTTTGAGTAAACTTTGCTCATGCACAACTACCTCTTGCGCTTGTGAACCTCTTCTGTGTGGCTGGCCCATGATGCCTGCAGCTCTTTGATGCACCCTGCCGACCTTTGACCCTTGTTTCGAGTTTGCTTCAAGGACCCCGCGCGTCAGCTGCAAGACATGGTCTGAAATCTTCGTTGGCGCGCCTCCTTTCCGGGATGCTTCCCAATCTTTTCTGCTTCGCTTGTTGACAAACTGTTGGGACTGCATTGTTGCCCATGCCCGCTTTCCAATGGAATACCCGTGTTTGCGCAAGAATTGTCTGGGCCACTGGCCTTCGAAACTCATGCGTCTGTCGAGATCTGCGATACTGATACTTTGAAATCCTTGCTGCACTGCTTCTGAGCGAAGTGCTCCTAAAGTCTGGAGCAACTGATTGTCAACCACGGGCTCATCTTTCAAGAGTTGTGCCTTCACGCCTGGGCAAGATGTCTCTAATTTGGTCACTAGGCGAGTCACAAAGCGACACACTTCCGCAATGGATCCACCAGAAAAATGAAGCAACCGGTCGGCAAGAGATTTCATTGCAAATCTTTTTTTTCCAAAATGTTTCTTCTTGCCTGCGCCAGTCTTGGAGCTGCGAGCTTTGGCCTTAGACTGCACAGGTTTCTTGGCAGAAGTCTGTGGTTCTGTCGCTGCAGTCAAAGCCTTCCATTGTGGCAGCCCGGGAGGCTTGGCAGTGATCAGTGCAGGAGCTGCAGATGATGCACTGAGGCCGAGCGATGCCATAAGGAGGGGCTTGTTTCTCAAAACCATCTCTTCCTTTCCGGCCCAGTGATTGTAATATATCGAATCTGCTTCCACCAGCTGAGGGACATAGTTTTTCCTTAACTCATTGTATAACCAGGTATTCTGAGCTTTTGTCAGTACAGCACGTTTCGCTTCCCCTGGGCATTGTGTTCTTGCTTCAGCAATGGCTAATGGTCCGATTTCTTCTTCCAAAGCAGCTTTCTGCACTGCATACAAAGCCTTGGCACTTAAAGACATGGCTCCGAAAGTGGTTGTCTAAAGGTTATGAACAAAAACGATGCACACGTTGACAAAATGGGCATGTACTCACCGGAACAAATTTTTAAGTAATCCGTTATCGTTTTTGTTATCGTTTTGTTATCGTTCAGGACGCACCAAATTTCTCCGAATTTGACGAGACTCACTGACTGGCACATATCTGTCATTAAGTTGGAAAAGCTGCAGCGAAATAGCACGCTGTATGCAATAATTGTGTCAGGCTGCGCCTCCATGGAATCGTCACAAAAATAAAAATGACCTGTTCTGTAGGAGTCTTGGTAGCATTCCAAGTCGGAAATTCCACCGCGGCAATCCATCCACATGAATGACAAGATACAGTGGCAATGAGGAAAAAATCAAGGTGGCTGAAGAAAGGTTGTGAGCAGTGCAACTGACGGTCCTTTTTTTCCTGCGCAGTTGCTGGCTTCCATGTTGTGGTCCACATGTAACCCCAGGACTCAGGTTAACCCAAGCTCTTGTCACGTGTCAGCTTTGCTTTCACGCGCTGCATTTGGAGCAGCTACAAGTGTCCCCGTCTGTCAATTTTCACAGGTAGCTGTTTTGCTTGCGGTATAAGTTTGCCCTTGTGTTTTATTATTGCGCAAGTTCCAAAACAGAAAAAAAACACATGGAACCAAGTTCTTCCAAATTAATGCTGCTGGCCTTTTTTTCCCACTGTGCGCTGTGCACTGTTTTTGGTGCATGCGTGTCCTGTGCCAACATCCTGGCTCAATTACCTCAGCCTCAAAAATAACAAAACATATTGTTGAAGACAACTTTGTATAGACATTGCAATTGCAAATTTGTGTTATATATACATCACCACAACAAGATCGCCACAACGCCTTTGTGGCACTAGAGCGAGCCAGGAATAGAGGTTTAACCTGATATCCCTCGCAGCCAGATTCAGTTTTTGGCACGTTTGGAGGACACTGCACTAAACGCATCTGAAATGCTCATGGTGCCCTTAGCTGCCTTTGCAGCTGGCCTTTTGCCAACTCGGGCACCCTGACTCTTGGCAGAAACGGTGTCAGACTTGTCGCTTTTTGCTCCTTTGCCCCTGCCTCGCCCTTTTGCTTTTGACTTGGCTTTCGCCTTTGCTTTTGCCAGTGACTTGACTTTTGCCTTGGCCTTGGCCTTTGCTTTGGCCGTGGCAACTTTGGGCGGTGGATCATCATCCACTTCTGGATCATCCATCTCTTCTGACTCTTCCTCTGACTCCTCCTGATCCATTGCCTCAGTCTGGTCTTCCTTATCTTTCTCCTCCTCCTCCGCCTCCGCCTGAATTTTGCCAGATGGCGATGGCAATGGGCCATTCATCATCTCAGTATCTTCATCTGGCTGTGTCCTTGCATGCGAATTGGCCCCCTCATTTTTGAGCAAGAAACTCACCTGACTCTGTCTGGCAACGGCTTCAAGAATTTGCGGCAAGTCCTTGATGCCTTTATGGGTCATCATCTCCAGCTTCTCCGGAAATGCTGTTGCTTGTGGGGGCAGATCAGGCTGATCAACTTGCTTTTTCTTCTTGGAGCTGTGAGGAGCTGGAGAGGGAGATCTGGTCTTCTCCTTCTCTGCTGTTGCTGCGGCTGCTGCAATCTTCTCACCTTCAGGTGGAGCCTCAGTTGATGCTGCTGCTGCTGCTGCTGCTATCTTCTCACCTGTCTTCTCACCTGCTGCTGCTGCTGCTGCTGTTGCTTCCTCTGCCTGTGCAGTGGCTGCAGCACGTGCATCACTTGTATCCTTTGCATCCTTTGCGTCCGGTGCGTCGTTGTCCTTTGCATCCTCCTTTGCATCCTCCTTTGCATCCTCCTTTGCTTCCGTCTCATCCTCACCCATGGCCTTTGCGTTGTCCATTGTGTTGTCCTTTGCATCCTCCTTTGCTTCCGTCTCATCCTCACCCATGGCCTTTGCGTTGTCCATTGTGTCGTCCTTTCCCTTTGCATCCTCCTTTGCATCCTCCTTTGCTTCCTTCTCATCCTCACCCATGGCCTTCTCAGCCTTCTCATCCTCAGTGAATTGCTTGGCAGCTGCCTGCTCTGCAATTGGCACTGGTTCTGCTTGGGAGATGTCTGCCTTTGGTGCGTTTGCTCCTGCTCCTGCTGTGTTCTGCTGCTGAACCTCCGGGTCTGAGTCAGAGTCTGAGTTCTGCTCGTCTTTGGTTCTGATCTGTTGGTCTTGGTCCTGTGACAGTGACGTGTGGTCGTTTGGCCAAAAAAATGCTTTGTATTGAATATTGCAGTCAAGTCTAGTCGAGTCTAGTGTATTTCAATTTCAATAATCATTATGCATTCATGTCTTTATCATGCTGGCACTGGCCTGGCCTCCTGAACGGCTGGCACCAGAGAGCTTCCTCTAACTTCAGAATCCTTTTCCTTAGATATGGTCACTTTCATTGCCAGTGGTAATGGCTCATGGCAATTGGCAAGAGGGGTCTAGAGTCGAGAGGCCTAGAGATGTGACGAGAATTATATATAAATTACTAATTGCATGGACATATGATTTGATTGATTATATTGATTGATTGTGATGAATGATACTGATTGATTAAGATAAGATAATATGCAATTTTGCTTTAGTATTTCAGATTGGCTGTCAAGTCCTTTAGTGTTTCAGACAGATTATGGTTACTGATTACTGTAATTCATTTCACTTCCTGTTTCCCAGCAAGTATCAGCAGCAGTGGGAAAGCCACCATCAGTGCACCATCCCAACTCATCCACAATGAACTTGTGGAAAGCAAGAACCACTGGCCTCAGGAACTTTGGATGTGACAATGGCACTGGCAGCGTGTGACCTGATCCAGACCCATTACCTACCTGCGGACCTGCGGCTTGGCTTGTCCCATAATACAAACCTATATCTATATACTATATTATTACACTCAGTCAGAGTCTTCAGTTACCAACTACCAATACCAAGTGGAAAGAACCAACAGTCGAGTCAGTCAGCCAAGTTACTCCTCGGGGAAGATTTTGGAAAGAATCCCATAAGCTGCTGCTGATTGAGGCGTCACGAGGTTTGAGACACATCGGGTGAAAAAGTTGTTCCTAACAAGGGCCTTCTCAATGACCACGGCAGTAGCTGGAACAAAGAGTACCTCAAGACTCAAGACCCAAATCTTCATCTTCGTCATCATCATCATCATCATCAAATCATGTCATAGTAATAGTCATAGTCATCATCATCAACCATCATCATCATCATTATCATTTTATCATCATCATCATCATCGTATCGCTTCGATGTTCTCCCCGTCTATAGTCTATAACCATCGGATTCCCCGGCGGCAATTTCGACAACACACCGACTCCGACACCGTCACACCGCCTTGGATGTTGTTGGTTACCCTCCCAAGGCTCCAAGGCGGTGGAAAATGGCCATTTACATTCTATTACATTACTTACATACTATTACTATTACATACTATTACTATTACATACTATTACTATTACATTACATTACATACCATTACATTACATAACATTACATTACATACTTACCATTACCAATACAATTACATTACATACCATTGCATTACATACTATTACAATACATACCATTACATTACATACTATTACATTACATACTATAATTACATTACATACTATTACATTACATACTATAATTACATTACATACTCTTACATTATTACATACCATTACCATTACATTACAAACCATTACATTACATACTATTACATTACATACCATTACATTACATATTATCATTACATTACATTACATACTATTACATTACATACGATTACATTACATATTATCATTACATTATTACATTACATACTATACATTACATACCATTACATTACATAATATTATTACATTACAACCATTACATTACATTACATTACATACTGTTACATTACAACCATTACATTACATTACATACTATTACATTACATACCATTACATTACATATTATCATTACATTACATTACATACTATTACATTACATACCATTACATTACATACTATTACATTACATACCATTACATTACATATTATCATTACATTACATACTATTACATTTACATACCATTACATTACATATTATCATTACATTACATTACATACTATTACATTACATACCATTACATTACATATTATCATTACATTACATTACATACTATACATTACAACCATTACAATTACATTACATACTATTACATTACATGCATACAATGATCAGGTGGTTTGAGATCTGTGACGGAGAACTTAGCTGTGCTGATATTATCCCATGGATATGTTTTACAAGTGTTTGACCACCACTACTGGCAACACCAGCCGCTCTAGCTGCCACTCACTGGAAGCATTCAACCACCTTCAGGGGCATGAGTTGTCTCTTCTCTAACATAAAAAACATGTGCATAGACACATTGAAGCACATATGCTCTTATTTGAAAAAATGGCAAAAATATTTTTTTTTTAAGTTTAAAACTTCATTCCAATACCTTGAGAATGATCCACTGAATGTTTTAGAACTGATTTTGGACATAACTTATGGATAGAAACTACTTTTTTGAACATGTTTTGATCAAAAAATATTTTTTTAAAAAAATATTCCAATACCTTGAGAATGATCCACTGAATGTTTTAGAACTGATTTTGGACATAACTTATGGATAGAAACTACTTTTTTGAACATGTTTTGGCCATTGTTCAGGCCATCTGCCCGGAGCCAGCTCTGCACAATACGGGGAGACACAACGGGAAGAACAACAACGGGAAAATGATGCAAAATGAGAAATGTCACTTTTATAATTTTAATACTTTTTAAAAAGTAGATTTCTATCCATAAGTTATGTCCAAAATCAGTTCTAAAACATTCAGTGGATCATTCTCAATTGGAATATTTTTTTAAAAAAAATATTTTTTGATCAAAACATGTTCAAAAAGTAGTTTCTATCCATAAGTTATGTCCAAAATCAGTTCTAAAACATTCAGTGGATCATTCTCAAGGTATTGGAATGAAGTTTTAAACTTTTTATTTTTTTTCAAAAAAATGATTTCTATCCATAAGTGATGCCCGCAATCAGTTTTAAACCATTCAGCTTCATTTTCAGGGTATTGGAATGAAATTTTATTTTTTTTAAAAAAAAATATTTTTGCCATTTTTCAAAATATCAAAAAATAACATTACATTGCAATCTATTACATTACATACCATTACATTACATACTGTTCAATTACATGCCATTACATATATTACTTACCATTACATATATTACTTACCATTACATTACATACTGTTAAATTACATGCCATTACATATATTACTTACCATTACATATATTACTTACCATTACATTACATACTGTTCAATTACATGCCATTACATATATTACTTACCATTACATATATTACTTACCATTACATTACATACTGTTAAATTACATGCCATTACATATATTACTTACCATTACATATATTACTTACCATTACATTACATACTGTTAAATTACATGCCATTACATATATTACTTACCATTACATATATTACTTACCATTACATTATATACTGTTCAATTACATGCCATTACATATATTACTTACCATTACATATATTACTTACCATTACATTACATACTGTTAAATTACATGCCATTACATATATTACTTACCATTTCATATATTACTTACCATTGCATTACATACTATACCTCAGCTGAGTCACATCCCCTTTGCAGATCCATGCCTGACGTAGGGAGGTCATACATTCGGGTGCATCTTTGGGATGCAAGCACTTGAATGCATTCACTGCATTTGTCAGCACACTCAGGTCAATTTGGTCAGCTTTGCTTGGTAGCAAACCCAGAACCTTGCCAAGTTGAGTTGACTGGAGCGGGAACTGGGGCCAGATATGTTGAGAGTTGAATTGATCGAGGATTTTGAATTTGAATGATAAATCATAAATAATGTTTTTTTGGGTAGTTTGTGTTTGTTTGGTTACTCCTCTTCACAAAACAAACATGAAGGAAGTTGAGTTGAGTTAGTTAAAGACAAGAAACATCTTCCAAGCTTGAGATGGCCAATGAACGCGTTCCCTCAAGTTGCATTTGAATCTGCCCAGTGCACCCGCGGAAAAGACCAGAAAAGTCAGTGCCATGCTCGAATCCAACCAATGAGAACTGCTTGTACCTCTTGATGTCAGCATCCGCATTGCCATTCTTGGAGACTTCTTTCATAAGTGACTCAAGTCTGTCAATGTCGACGACATAGGGGGGGAAGAACTTTGGTCCGCTAGAGTCATTCTCAATGAAGCTCAGAGCCACCTTGTCGAAGTTCAAGGCATCCACGCGGTCCTGCACCATGCTTGAGCACAAGTGGATCTTCTTGCAAATCTTCCCAGGCGAAGCCTTTCGATCAGGTGGACCAACTCCCATGATTGGTAACTGGTGTCATAGTTGTCAGTTGTCAGTTGTCAGCTGTCATAATCAAATCATAGTCATAGTTGTCAGTTGTCTGTCACTGTCAGCTGTATATAATTCACTGTGAATCACTGTCACATAATAATCGTTAAAATAATTCAATAGTATCATAGATGGACAGACAGACTGTTAGTTGCTGTTGCTTCTTGCTGTTGCTATGTTTGGATCAAGATTGATCGTAAGTTAATCATATTACCCATGGCTGGGCTGGGCTGGGCCTGGCCTCGCATTTCTCCGCAAACTCAGAGATGAACTGGGTCAACTCGGCTTTGAAAGAATTGTTCACTGAGTTGATTTCCTTGACGTTTGCCCCAGTGAACTCAGCATGGAATTCCATCACTTTCTTGAAGGCGGACCTAGATAGTCGTAGAATCACTGGCTCATCTTTGCACATGATTCTGACGAAGTCATCCACAGTGGCAACTACGCGGCATTCAGCCCCTGCGATCTTTTCCTTGATCAATGGAGCATCAGCCTCAGTCAACTCATTAATTCCTTTGCCACGTCGATTTCTAGGACCTTCCTCCTCCTCTGCCTTCTCTCCATCCTGCAATGCTGCAAGAGCTGCGGCTTCAGCCGCCTGTTCTTCCTCCTCCTTCTTCTTTTTCTTAATCTCAGCTTTCTCAGCCTTCCTTTTTTGCTTTGCAGCCTCCTGATCCTTCTGCTTCTGAAGTCTATTCGCCTCTTTGTCACGTTCTTTCTCCAAACGTGCTTGCTCCTTCATTTGGAATTGTCTTTCTGCTGCCAATGCAGCCGCTGATGCAACCTTGGTGGTCTTGTAGTGGTTGCACGACTGAATCAACGCCTCTGCCATCTCCTTGAAGTAGTTGACAGCTTTCAAACACTGAGCCGCTGCCGTTTTCACCTTAGTTCCAGTTCCAGTTTCAAGTTTCAAATTTCAGTCTTGTCTTGGTACAGCTACAGATAAAGTGTTCGGTGTATAGTATATACTGTACTGCTACTGCTACTGCCAAGTTTATGTTCCAAGTCACAGTCACGAGACTCACAAGACTTTCAAGTCAAGTATTTTCAATTTCAATCAAGTCTGGCCGGGCCAACCCAGTTAATGTCATGCGGCAAGTTACTGAGTCAGGAGAGTCAAGTAAGTCCCATAGAGATCGGTCATTGTTCATGAAGCCAACTGTCTGCAAAGAGCCGGCTTCCAAAGCAGCTTCCTTGAAGTAGGGATCCACTGCAGCTAAAGCCAAGACTTTCCCAACTGCCTCTTGATTGCCGTCATTGTCAATGGATGTGACGGAATTGAGCATGTGGACCATCAAGTATCGTCGTTCAATGTCGTCTTCATCAGCCGGCTTTTTGTCAAGACTCTCGATCCCAACATCTTCATGTTTTTTATCCAAGGTCTTCAACGCTATGCCCAATGCCTTCTCAGCTTTGAGGACAGCATTGTTGATGTCCTCTCTAGCCCCAGAGACCAGAGATGTTTATGATTTATAATATCAATATCATGTGTCATCATTTCATCATCTCCTATCGGTCGAGTCCTATCATATACTTACTTACTGATAAATCTGATAAACTGAATAATAAAATCAAAAGTGTCAGTGTCAGGGTCTAGTGTAGTGCACTGCAGTGATATTGACATTAATGACATTCCCCCCCGCCCCCAGCCCCCGCCCGCCCAAACAGTGTCCTTGAGCGTGGTCCTACGGGCAATAGCAGCTGCAGCCACTGCATCCTTCTTCTTGTCCAGCAAGCGATCCAAAACTAGGAAACCACAAGAACTGCTAGGCAAAGACAGAGCTGATGATGCCTGACCCCTACCACCAGAAGCTCTGCTAGTACCAACCCCTTTGCCAAGGGCCAACGGAACTCCTTTCATGTGGTTTGCAGCACTTGCACTTGAAGGGTCTGCAGACGATGTTGCAATACGAGACAGGTCAATGTCTTCGTCCTCACAAGCAGCAGTCACAGCAGCCTGCAGCCTGCTCTGCATTCCAGCAAGTGCAGCCTCAGAAGCCCTCGATCTACTCTCCAGGCCCAACTGGGCGCCTCTGTCCTGACTATAAAACATGTATATATTTAAATACAATAATATATATATATATATTATATTTATTTATACTTATATTTATATAATAGATATTAATAATAATATTTAATACTATACTATAATTACATTACATATTACATATTATATATTCTTACAGAACAACAGGGGACAACACAACAGAACAACAGGGGACAACAGGGGCCACACACAACACGTTGTTGCTGTTGCTGTTGCTGTTGGTGTTGTTGCTGGTAGTTGTGTCTGTCTGAGTCTGTGTCTCATCCTTCTCCTCATCATCATCATCCTTCTCATCCCTCATCACCCTTCTCATCCCTCATCATCCTTCTCATCCCTCATCATGCTTCTCCTCATCATCCTTCTCATCCCTCATCATCCTTCTCCTCCTCATCATCATCCTTCTCATCCCTCATCACCCTTCTCATCCTCATCATCATCCTTCTCATCCCTCATCACCCTTCTCATCCCTCATCATCCTTCTCATCCCTCATCATCCTTCTCCTCCTCATCATCCTTCTCATCCCTCATCATCCTTCTCATCCCTCATCATCCTTCTCATCCCTCTCCTCATCATCAGCCTTCTCCTCCTCCTCATCATCATCATCCTTCTCATCCCTCATCATCCTTCTCATCCCTCATCATGCTTCTCATCCCTCTCCTCATCATCAGCCTCATCATCCTTCTCATCATCCATCATCATCCTTCTCCTCATCCATCTCATCATCATCCTTCTCATCCCTCATCATCCTTCTCATCCCTCATCATCCTTCTCATTCCTCATCATCCTTCTCATCCCTCATCATCCTTCTCCTCCTCAACACGATGTTACACCAACGGGAACCACAACGGGCTCAGCTCTCGGTGGTGGAATGAAGCCCCAACGGCCGAAGACCTGCTGGACCTCAACCTGGGACCTTCCCAGCTCAGTGTGCACCGCAGAACCTCAACCTGGGACCTTCCCAGCTCAGTGTGCACCGCTGGACTTCAACGGCCAGATAGAAATGCCAGAAGATATGCCAGATAGAGTGCCAGAAGATATGCCAGATAGAATGCCAGAAGATATGTCAGATAGAATGCCAGAAGATTTGCCTGCCAGTAACAAAATGTATACATGTCATGGTGGTGGGGATCACACGAAGTAAAGTATTTTTTTGATGGCCTAATTCATTTTAAACATAATAGGAATAGTGATACACCAAAAACATAATAAAACTCAAATCAGGAATCAGGAATCCGGAAGATCAATTTTTCGTTTTTTTGTCAAAAAAATGGAAAATATTTGTCAAATGTCAAATTGTTTTAATGGTGTCCGTCAGGTCTTGCTGTAATGTTTAAAACGATTTTTGTCCAGAAAAATATATTTCAATTTCAATCTTTGAACTAAAATTGAAAACCAAGTCAGTCCTTGTACTGCGTGTCAACTGCTTTGCGGCTACATGGGACATAAATGAGGGTCACCTCTTCCTTGGTTGGCTTTCCGGTAGCCTCTGACAACTTCCGCACTTGTTCCTTCCGGACTGACCTATCCTTCAAGTCCTCATCCCACTTCAGCTTGGCACCATGCTCACTCAAACCTTGGCTCATGACTCGTTGCTATACTGTTGGTGGTTTGGCTTGAAAGTTGGTTTTTGGCATTCAGTTTGGATCAGCTGCAAGTAGTCGCATGGATTCTGATTCTGATTCAGAAATCATATGTTATAAAAATATATTATATAAATCTATAATATAAATAATATAATTATAAATGGCGGCTAGTGGGTTGGTGGTGGTATCATTTGACGACATAAGACATACACACAGAATACACTGTAGTTGCGTTCAGCTTGGAAACGACACCAGCTTGGAGCTTCCTTGGTATACCACTTCTTATATTCAGGCCATGCCAAAGGTTCTGCCTCTCCTACATCCTCCTGGCGGTTGCCAGCACTCACTGTCTGGCTGAGGGTGCACCAGTCATAGCCTGTTGATGTTGCAGAGTTCACCCTCTTTCCAGATGCGCGATGCAACTCCTGTGACCTGGGATCAGCTAGGCATCTAGCATTGTCTATCATCGTCAACATCATGCCATCAATATCACATCCAAATATTTTGTTATTTGTTGTTATTAGTTATAGTTATTATCATTATTGTCATCCATCATCATCATCACCATCATCATCATCACCATCATCATCATCATCAAGTGTCAATCTACACAACCATACTCATCCACAGCTTCATGAATTATGAATAGTGCCAGTGCCAAGCGCACTGCCAAGGGACGTGTGGCAGAACTTTTTGAAGTGCATCACATAGACTTCCTCAAGGGTTTGCTTTGGTTGAAGGTTGGGCCAGGTTTAAGTTGGATTTGGAATTTGGATGACTGGTAGAAATTATGCAATTCTGATTCTGAAACTCAAAGCTGACTGACTTCAGCCAATAGTCAAGTGTCATGTCAAGTCAAGTCAAGCTTGACTTGAAAATCAAAAAGTCAAGTCAAGGATTGGAATTGGGCTTCAAGGCTTTAAGTTCCAAATTTAGTTCAAAAAATGAGCTGCCACCAGCACTGCCATCACCCCCACCGCCGAGTTAAGTCAAGTCTAGTCTCATGGTTGTTCTTCTCCATGTCACTGAGCACTTTCTCTTTACCGGCTCGAACTGCTTGCTCATGCCACCTTCGCCGACGTCCAACATCGGACTGGCAAAGCTGAGTGAACCTTAGATCTCGCTGAGCAGGGCTCACTGACATCACTGACACTTACAATCAGTTTATTAGAGTCAGTCTTACTTAGTTACTTACTTGCACTTACCTACTTACTTCACTTACTTACTTACCTTTTCTATTCTGTCTATTCAATCTGTGTTCAACGCTGATGCTGATCCAACCCAAGCTCCAAGCAACCACTTTGGTCGGTATTGGCATTGACACCCACAAACTTCACACAGGCACATCCCTGGGGGCAAGTCTTGGGCAGAAGCGGTCACCACCTCAAGACTTTCGCAGCCAGCCTCAAAATGAGGAGGCGCTTCTTCGATGCCGTCGTCCATGACAAGCAAAACCAAGTCAAGTCGTCAACGAAGTTGAGACTCAAGACACTACCCCTACTGCCTGGTTAAGCCAGAATTTGTCGACCCATTCATTACTAAGTGAATTCTTCAAAGCAACTTTTGGCATTGAAGGAAGACTGACCGAGTGTGAATCTAACTCATCGTCATCATCACCATCATCATCACCATCACGTTCGCCATCGTCATCATCATTATCATCATCATCGTCATCATCGCCTGAATTCAATCACTCTGTTGTACTTTCTGTCCATAGGCCATAGGTTGTCATGAGTGAGACAGTGCTGCCGGTGCATCTGACTGATTCTCAGGCTTAGCACGCCAAGTAGTCAAAACTGCAGCCCATACAGCGCCAGCCACTGCAGTATGCATCGACTGGGTGAGTCAGGTCAAAGCAAGGTTAGTCAGTCAGTGTGTGATTACAGACCATAAGCAATTTTACCAGTGAACTCTAGGTCTAGGTGCTAGTCCTAGCTATTAAAATTCTAGACTCGACTCCTCCCTCCTCCAATCCAATCCAATCTCCAATCCAGCAGAGTCCAGTCCAGTCCAGTCCAGTCAAGTCTTGTCACCGTCACCAAACCAAAGGCGAGTGGCATTTCCAGCCAGGGATTTCATCGCATTGGTGGAGACATGTTCCAATGAAAAAGGCGGCCACGGAGTGTCTGCGCAAAACTCTGACCACTGTGGTGCTCCCATGGCATTCAAGTGCTCCTGCATATGTCTACTGGCTGGCT